TTTGCATAATTGGTCATGCTATTGTAATTGCACCGACGTTGTTGAAGTGAGAAATAACATTGTGGAAGAGACATAAAGTAAGTAAAACACCTCTGAAATGCATTTAGAATTTATTTAGAACTACAAATTAAATTTCTTTTAGCAATTATTGTTTTGTTTTTTTTATGTTACAATTCCAACCCTGCTCCTTTATCCAGTCTTGGATAAAGTGACCCGAAATAGGCACTCTGGCAGATTTACTTTGTGTGTGTGTGTGTTTATAAGTACTTTTAAACCTTGTGATTCACAAAACAGCATAACAGTAATAGAAGAACTGACTGCGTTACAGTCAGTGCAGGAGCAGCGGCTTCACTCATGTGTGATTCATTTGTAATTTGGGCGCATAGGTGTGAACATCTCTTTCCCTGATAGCAGCTGGGGGAGGACTATCCTCCGCCTGTGAGTGCTTTGGCACAGGCGAGATGCCCATGGCAACACCCAGTGCTAGTTGAGAGTAAGAGCGCTTTCATATCAAAAAGTTTTCATGAATACGCCACCAATAACAGTTGCCAGATTTGTCACTAGTCGCTTTAAAATAAAATAAAAGTCACTAAGGGGGTCTGAAAACTTGCTAAATACAGCGACAAAGTCACTAAGCTGGCAACACTGCTGGGGATGCACACTTTCTGTTCTTTTCTCTTTTTTCATTTCGCCCTCATGCATGATGATATATTACACAACATTCTTCAGAAGTGGACCATGGATCCTCTCAGAACCAGACAGGCCCTGGAGAGGTTTTCCTACTCCATGGGTGAACTGAAAAACAAGTACACATGCCACACCGTCACAACCAGAGGCAAACGCAGTTGTAGTTGGAGCAAGACCGCATAGGATGAGATGGACTGACAACTGAGCGATCCTACTGGTGAACTTGGAATAATTAATCTGTAAACAAAGAACTTGTCTGCGTGGTGACTGACAGGAGTAACAGTGACTCGTGAGATAGTTAACACCTAAATATACTTGTAAAGTCATTGGGGTATTAGGCCATTGTTTTTCTCACAGTTTCAGTCTGGTTGAAAGTGTTTCTTTTTCATTTCTGATACAACTTTCAGTCATTTTTTTCTACAGAAAAACACCAAAGTGAAACTTGTTCTCCTGAGTGCAGCCGGGACTGGAAAGAGTCCAGATCAGATCATCACAGGAGATGATCTGCAGGAATGAAGCTGGACAACATTTTGCACACCTGACAACCTGAAGGAAATATTTACATTTACAATTATTGATTACACAGCGGTGGAGAGTAGACTTTATCAAAGTAGATGTCTTTCTGAAAGCGCTGTAACTAAGTTTAAGAATATAATCCACCCACTGTTATCATCTTCAATTCCCTGTACCAACACAGAGCAGAGCAGCTATCTGAACGCTACCCCAACAGAGGTCGATTATCTTGTTAATAATTTCACCTCCTCACTGCGTACGACTCTGGATACTGTAGCTCCAGTGAAAACTAAGGTCTCTAATCAGAAGTACGTGACTCTGTGGTATAATTCTCTGTGCTCTGTGAATTATTTCAAGTAGCCCCTCGTCCTCCACAATGTTAATGAGCCTGCAAGCTGTAGCCACCCATTTTGCTATGACTGTTGAAAGTTTGTTGGTTGTAGAATTGTCCAGACGTCTCCTTTGAAAAATATCCAGTGTGGTCTGCCTTTGGCGAGAGGAAGGAGGGCTCTCTGCATTAGCTGTGTGCTTGGCTAGAGAGTGGTATTTGAGACTGGACGTACTACGGTGATAACTCAGTTCACATCGACAGTAAATATAAATTACTTTGGTCTTGTCAATAAAACTTTTTTTTTCTTTTACAGCTGACATATCTGCAGTTTCTTGCACTCAATTCCCTGACAGTAAAATATACTTCTAATTTTTCTTTTTATCAGTAAAACAGCATTATTTTAAAAAACGTGCGATTTTTAAAAGAAGCATCTGTTCTCAGTTTAAGTGGGTTTGTTTTCATCATCTATTGAAAATTATCAGATTAAAACTTGTTCTCCTGGGAGTGGCTGGGCCTGGAAAGAGTCCAGGTCAGATTGTGCCAGGAGATGATCTGTAGCGTGCAGGAATGAAGTTGGATAACCTGATGAGAAGGACATAATTGTGTGGCTACAGGTGTGTGGTTTCTGAGAAACAATGATCAGGATGATCCAAGAACAACATCAGTTATTACTTCATCTTTCCAGTGTAAAGAATGATTCTCTGTGTAAAGCTATAAATAGATGAGAATAAGATGCAGAGTTATAAAGTACACAATTGTTTTTTTATTTTAATTTCCCTTTTTTTTTTAAATTGTTCTTTGAATTGTTGCCACATAATTTAATTTCAGTTCTCAACATTTTAATTTTAACTAACAGAATCAGCTTAATGCAGAAATCAATAAGCTCCTCAGGAAACTCCAGCCATACAGATATTTTCACAAAATCTAATGGACATAAAATTGTATTTGTGCATTTCCAAAGAGCTACAAGAGGGGGGTTTATTTGTATGTCCATGCTTGCCTCAGCATGTTTCTATAAAAAGTCACACATATCACACATATTTCCCATTTTACTAATTAACTTGATATCTCTGCATAAATATGTTCACGTTGATATTTATTTGAAAAGAACAAAATCTTTTTTTAAACGAATCATGGCTTTCTCTCCCACTGCCTTCTTTAACTTGGAGGCCTTTAAAGACATGAAAGCTCAGTTGTGCGTCTTTGACTCTCTTTAAGGTTTTTGACATTCAAGTCTGGAACCAAACATGCTTTCAGGTGGAGGAGCAGCAGCACAGTTGGCCATTGTAAACTGAGTGTGTATCACCATCTGCTGGACGTTTGATGTATTGACCTGACTCCACAGGGAAACGAGCCTTTGTTGTACCTGTGTGTGTTTAATCTTTTGCATTCTGTCATTCAAACTTTAATGATTCAAACAAAAAAGTCCTAATCTGAAAAAAAAAAGAACTTAAATAAGAGTAAAAATGAAACTCCTAAAACTAAACTGAAGAAGTTTGAGTAAAAGGAAAATAATAAATGCTTTGTGTCTTTTGTTTGCTCTGACTCTTGTTCTCATTTTTATTTCAATAAGGTCTCTTCACTCATCTTTTATGTTTTATGTGTATATCTTAGATCATTTCCTGTTTTATTTTGAAAATTTTATTTGTTTCGCTTTATATCTTTATATGTAACTATCTTCTCAAACACTCTGCAAACCAATAAATAAATCCAATATATTTTTATAGGATGTTTTTACACTCTGATTTTTTTCACTACCTGCTCACTAACAGATGGACCAACACTATCAGTAGTAGCAGGATCTGTTTTCAGGAAAATCACAAACTTTATTCATTACTCTTTTTCTACTGATTGAAAACACACACACAAACAAACTTTGGACCTTTGAGAATCAAGAGTCTTATTTCTATAGATATCTTGATGCATTCTCAATCATCCAGGAAAGTAAATCTCCAAAAGTTAATTCTGTTCATCTGGACGTAGAGTTTTGTGGGAGAAACGTTTCGTCCAAGTGACTTCTTCAGTCTCAGCTGACTGCAGGTTTCCCCAAATCTTATAAACAGTACATTTGCATAATGACTGAAACCAGCCCACTGAAGGAACAATGGGCTGTTTGTAAGATTTGGGGAAACCGCAGTCAGCTGAGACTGAAAAAGTCACTTGGACGAAACGTTTCTCCCACAAAACTCTACGTCCAGATGAACAGAATTAACTTTTAAGTTAACTGAATTTAAACAGGCCTGGATCTGCACCACAGCGACCAACAGAGGGCGCTGTCGTACCACTCCTGACTTCATCATAAGTTCTTCTCTTGGCGCCCTATCATCTGCTTTCTCTAATCCTAAAAAGATAAAGTGAAGCTCTTTGAGACCTTCTCTATACTTCTCCATCACTCTCAAAGCAAACATCACATCTGTAGTTCTCTTTCTCAGCATGAAGTCATGCTGCTGCTCATTGATCACCACCTCTCTTCTTATTCTAGCTTCAACAACGTACTATTTCTTCATGGTATGGCTCAACAACATTATCCCTCTGTGGTTGCTACAGCTTTGCACATCAACCTTCTTCTTAAAAAACAATTCAAGTACATTTTTTCTCCATACCTCAGGTATCCTCTCACTCTCTCCAGGATTATTTTAAACCATCTAGTTAAAAAAGAATTGCACCACCCTCTCTCCTAACCATTTCCATCAGGTATGTCATCTGGACGACCTTTGCATTCTTCTGCCACTCTCTGTTTATCCTGTTTAACGTAACCTAGTATTCCAGTCTGCTTTCTTCATCTCCCTCCCTATTATTATTGTTTAAAAATCAATGCATTAAAACATTCTACATTTTATTTATTTTTTTGTACTACTCTTAAAGATTTGAAATGATACATAATTGTTTTTTAATGATGCTTTTAATCTGTCGGCTGTATTTTCTGTTTCCGCTGGCAGTGAATGCATCATGTGGACGTTCTCGAAGCGTCATCCAATCGCTGCTCGGAGGGGCGTGGCTAAATAAACTTGGAGACCCTTGCCCTTGCTGGCTGTGGCACTGGAGTCTCTCATTCAGTCAATAAACCCGTTCAGCCGTCATGTTTCCTCGTTCTGGACACACTGAGACGCTCACACACCTGCTGAAACCTGATCTGTTCTGCACGAGACGACGCGCTGTCTGTCGCCTCTCCGCTGCCCTTAAGTCCATCGATAACCTTTTTTATATAAGTGTTTTCGTTTAGCCCCACGGCTGTGACAGCTGTCATGCGTCAGAGACACCGCTTTGATCTCAAATGTGATGCATAAATATTATTAACTCAACTGTCAAAGTGTGTATTTGCATATTTTGTTTTTTCTTCCGTTGACAAGAGAGAACAAAGAGAAGCTGTCCACATGTCCCCGCCACAGGGCCCCCAGCTCAGCTCCAAATTTCATTGGCTACACTTTTATATCATTCGACCTATCGCGTAGGACTCACTCAGGAAACCCTAACATCGGGTTCTGTGATTGGCCTAGACGTTTGGCGCCTCTTGAATCCGCCGCAGCCGTAGTGGGCGGTGAGGCGGAGGAGCAGTTTGAACAGGGTCGCTGTTGCCTAGGCGGAAACATTGAAATCCAAATAACTTTTTACAAGCAGGCTGACACCAAACGGTGCGACTGTCCCTCGTAGACGCACAGTTTCTGTGTCCTAACCAGCCTTGGAGCGAAGGAGCCGGTGTGAGTTATTTCATTTACCGGCTCTGGGTGCGTGAAGCCGGGTGTTGCGCGAGCTCGGTCGCTCCCTCCTCCTGAGTTAAACTGCTAGCTAGCCACCGAGCTAACGTTACAGCTAGCCGTAACACGGAGCGAGCTAATCTGCAGCACAAAGGACGACTTTGCCCGTGTTTGTCGCATCGATCCGGATCGCTCCGTTGGATGAGGCCAGAGGCTCGGGTGGAGGTGAGAGAAGCTGTCAGTGTCCGTGGCTGTGTTCACGGGGGTTTGTTGTGGGCTGCTCTTTGTGCTCTTGGGCGCCTCAATCTTTGTTAACTCGCCAACTGTTAGCTAGCTCGCCGGGGTACCGTGCCAATTCTTGTATCCCCGTAAATATTGACTAGCTTATAAAGAAGCCGTCGTTTTTTTTAAAATCACTCGGAGGAGGGTAATCATTCCGATGGATCCACCGTCCACTCGTGTTTTGGGACCTTTGTGAGCCTGTTTCTGGGCTAAGGGGAAGCACATTTTGAGGGGAGCCAAACTTGGCACGACATCCGCAAGCTATCGTTAGCTCGAAGCTAGCTCACAGAAAAAGGCTGGTACAGTTTTTTGATGTATAATTTTTAGTACCTCTCATTTAATTTTCTTTCGTTTTTTGTTCAAGCTTTTGAGGGTTTTATTGTGAAACTGGGGCTGGAGGTGGTGGTAAAAGTAAGTGTCACCTTAAGTTAGGAGATTGTCACATTGATAAAAGTAAAAAAAGCTTCCCTCTTGTTTGCCTAGAAGCCTTGCGGGGGCGATATTCAACCACTTCCCTCACCATAAAACTCATAACATCGCCTAGAACAAAAAGAATAGAAGTTTGTGCCGCTGACACATGACAGGAAGCTTGAGTTTCACCTGTTAGTCAAAAGTCATCTTGAGAGTCATGTGGCAGGTTTTGGATGGAGGCCGACCTGTGCTGGGTTTGTGAGGGGAGACAAGCTTGGTAAGATGGTGGTTATTGTGCTGTTTATTTATAGGTGACAGTGGCTGCTGTTCGTCCACAGACTGTACATAAAAGAATGATATACAGAACTGTGATAAATTAACTCCCCCTTTCACAATTTCTTATTTTTTTCCATTTGTCACAGTTACTTATTTCAGGTCGTCAATACATTTTTATTATTACACAAAAGATAATCTGAGTAAATAGAAAATGCATTTTGTAAACGAATAATAATAATGATTTATTTTATTAAGAGAAATAAATCTATACCAACCAAGCTGGTCCCTTGTGAAAAAAAGTAATTGCCCACTAAACCTAAAAACTTGATCTGCAACTCTTGAAGGTCAAATGTTTGCAGTGATTTATTTAAGTCTGATTTAAGTCAGGACTTTGACTGGTCTGCTCCAAAACATGCATTTTGGGTTTTTTGAACCATTCATGATAATCATTAATTTATATAGCACTTTAAAAACACACCAAAGTGCTGAACAATACAACAATAAATAATAATAATATAGAAACTTGGCAAGACAATAAAATGAATAAAAGTGTCAGTCACCCACAGAGTTAAAAGCCAGAGAATAAAAATAGGTCTTCGATCTGGATTTAAAACCCGGCACTGATGTAGCCTCTCTGATGTGAAGAGGAAGATTGTTCCAAAGCAACAGAGGTGGACTTGCTGGTGTGTTGGATCATTGTTCTGCTGCATAAACTAAGTGTCCTTCTCCAGGATTTTCTGATAGAGCAGAATTTATGGTACCATTAATTGTGGCAAATTGTCCAGGTCCTAAGGCAGCCCCAGACCATCATTAATACTGCCACGTTGTTTGAATGTTGATAAGATGATCTTTTGATGATGTGCTGTTAGTTTGATGACAGATGTAACGGGAATCAAAGTTCTGCTTTTGTCTGATCAGTCCAGAATATTTTCTGTGAGGCCTGCAGTTCTTTAGATGTTGTTCTGTTTTGTTTTGTTTTTTTCCTGTGACAACCTGGGTGAGCTGCCAAGTAATTTGGAATAATTTTGGTAGGCCATGCACTCCTGGGAAAGTTCACTGCTGTTCCAAGTTTTCTCCATTTGTGGGTAATGGCTCTTACTGTTCTCGTGAGTCCCAAACGTTAGAAATTTGT